ATTATGATTTGTAAAACTGATTGTTTTGCACGTTTCAAAGTCCAAAATCATTGTACAGTTTATTTTACAAAGTTAATTATATACTGTATTTTTTTTCAGTAATAAATAAAATTATATTGTGAATTACTTGTATTTAATACCAAAAAAATAAAAAATAAAAAAAATATATATATTCTAAAAATGACTTAAAAGTGCGTGTCAAGCGTTTTTAATAAAGGAAAATAGTTTTTCCTCAAATAAAATTAGAAAAGACTTAACAATCTACCTGTTTAACTACCTATGTTTGACATTAGATTACATCAATTAATTGTCACCTACAGATGCATTATAAATTAATATATTTAATTATTCTTCTCCNTAATACCAAAAAAATAAAAAATAAAAAAAATATATATATTCTAAAAATGACTTAAAAGTGCGTGTCAAGCGTTTTTAATAAAGGAAAATAGTTTTTCCTCAAATAAAATTAGAAAAGGAAAATGAACTGACCTACAGCATGATTAATTAAAATGCTATATAAAATGAATGTCTTTAAACTATTTTATGACGTTTGAACTAATCTATGTACATTTTATACATATGTTAATTCAAATTATTCATATATTGTATTATTTTTTAAACAATTATCTCTAAATATGAATTACAAATATAGTATTAATTTATGATCAATTATCTTATCATGATCTATAATCTTAATAGATTAGTATTCATTTGATTTTTTTAAATTTTTCATCCCAATTTTCCTGTATTGAGAGATCATTTTCCTATTATCTATACATCTGACATTGGAAACTGGTTAGAGATAAGTTTCCTTAAATGCTTTTGCCTAATTTTAATTATTTAGGTTACCCAAGTCATAGTGAACTCAAATCTAGTTTTACAGTTGGAGAAACATTATTAATGTTAAAAGTATTTACTATCGGCCTTTCGAACATGTACAGGTATAAGTTTAAATTAAAGAAGAAGTCTGAAGATAGAAATTGTAAATAAATAAAGTGAAAAATTATAATATTCAATAATTTTTGTAGCAATTTTTTTTTAAGATTTAAATTAATATTTTTGACGTCTAATGAATGACTTTTGATTTTTTTCGGATTTAATTCATTTTTGTAATGGTTACTACAGGGTGATTCATGAAACATGTATCGTCTTGTAATATGCATTAAAATCAATGAAAAGGCACGATTGAAGTTATTATATTTTAATCTGCATTAACAAGACAGTGGCGACAAGTGACTACAATTCGCCATAATGAGGCAAATTTCAAACTAAACAGTGTGGTACTACTACAGATTATAGGATTACCAACAGTAACAAAATATATAAAATACTCTAAAGACCATATCATATTAAAGACAGAATTCCAAAATATTTTAATGTAAAACAATTTATGTGAGAACAGAATAAAAGGCAAATACTTCAATGAAACTAATATGTTACTTTATTTTTATTAAATTAGAATACATTTGTATTAAATAACGAACAATTAGTTATTGTGGCATCGTCACAATGCCAGGCTTCAATTTTAATTAATTTAATTTAAAATATGTGCTCTCTATCACAATTACTAGTAATTTGCTCCTGTACATCATACTTTTCCTTTAACAATAGAGTCGTGCCGGCCATTAACTGCTTTCAGGAAAAAATGTTTAAATTGAAATAATGTGTTTACAGGTTATTATATAGTTAATCCGGATCTACTGTCCTTAAGCTTTCTATATTTGGTCTCGACTTTCATGTACCTTACTCCTTTCTCGAGATTGAGGAAGGACAGACAGACAAACAACAGTCGAAATTTAAGGTCTACAAGTTTTTCAAACTGAGGTTCAATAATTTTTCTATAAACGCGATATTTAGGAGAACATACTTCTCACAGTTTATACAAATTGTCTCAGAAATATAAACACTTTTTTTAACATAAAATAATTAGTACTTCAGCTAGATGCTTCTTAACCTACAGAAAAACGCCTTATCTCGTTGAGAATTATTTATTAACCGTAACGAACGTTTCCAACCTGTTATACAGGCCATCTTCAGCTTTTTTTTAAAATTTTGGAGTATTGATAACTGTTCCTTTTCGTATAGAACAGTTAAAAACACACATAAAGTACAAAATTCTTTGGAATATTGAGCTATTTGAATCCAAAGAATAAATTATAGTAATATATATAGAATTTAAAATAACAAGATAATAAAATAGATAACAAAACGTTGGTTAAAGGTTTAAAATGTTCGTTACGGTTAATAAATAATTTTCAGTGAGATAAGCTGTTTTGCATAGATATAACATAAAAGCAATTATTCTCACATTTTTACAAGATTTTTTTATTTAAACAAGTCATACGAAGTCTTTCGGACGTTAAGGTTAGCAACTTCGATCACACGCAGAGAATCACAACCTGTCTAACATAGATTACTTTTCAAATATTAATAGTATACCAGTATTAATTAGTAGTGGTTGGCCATTCTCTCTACCGGGAGAAAATCAACGACTACTTTTTCTCGAATTACCTCAACTCCCTTCCGCAATGGTCCCGAATTTCTATCGGACCAACGGTATGGTGGCATTGGAATTGGAAAATTCAAAATACAAGGTTACCAGCCTGTACAAAATATGATTTAAGTAGTTTTCGAGGGTGCCGAGTTTAAATATGTTGTCCCATCTAAAGCTTTTACATAAGTACAGTAGTGCCTCATACTTCGAATTTAATTCATTCCAGAAGGCCGTTTAAACTCCGAATCGTTCGAGGTCTCAAGCAATTTTTCCCACTAGAAGTAATGAAAAGTGAATTAATCCATTCCCAGACCCTAAATAAAACTCATTTCGATAAACTTAAAACAACAAACACAAGTAATTTAAGGTAAAAATAACACCATTAAATGCACTAATAATAAATTGAAACGCGAAAACAATAAATAAAATACATAAATACTGTTATAAAATGAAAATTATATTTACCTACTGTGTGCACACCGTCGACTTCGCCATCGTAAGCATGGCCGCCAGATCCGCCACAGGGGCACCATTTTCAAGCTTCGCGATAAGTTCCTTTTTCGTCTCAATCGTCGATCTTACATCCTTCCTCTTACTTATTAGACTTCGTTTCCTTCACACATTTCTGGTATGTCATGGAGAATAAGTAAAAGTTATATTTATTGGATTAAATTAAAAGTTTATGCGTATTTTTACGTTACTTAATAAAAATGCGTGATTTAATTATAACAGTTGTGCAAATGTATTCTTGCTAATTTTAGATTGTATTGTTTGTTTGGAAGCGTATCTTACTCTTTATACGCATTTTTTCACTACGCGCGCAGTTCGGAGTTTGAGCATCGTTCGAACTCCGAAGCAAATTTTTGTCGAATTTAGCGTTCGAAGTACTGTACAAGATATTACTGTATTGATACGTATCTATAATAAAAACTAAACAACTGCTCTATAAAACATAAAGTTTGCAATGTCCTGTTCACAAACTGTTACAAAACATTATACACTTGTCTACATTACATAAATTGTTCAAAACTCTTTAAATGAACAATGAATTTTTAAAAATACCTGAAAAGTTGCATTCCATCACATGTAGGCAACGGGCCGATTAACCACTTAATGGTGGCCAAACCCAAGCAACTAGTTTAAAGCAACGCGACACATAGGAGATTTGCCGAGGAGTGAAATGCTTCTTGGCAGGTCTTTTATGGGAAAATGCCCCTATTTATGCATTACTGACGTGAAGAAAATTCGGAAAACTCCACGTGGCCAGTTCTTTGGCGAGCCGCGAATCCACGACCCTAACAGTTTTCAGTAGTTTTCAATAGTCACTCGGCCATTAGTGAGCGCGTGTTATTTAGTAACAAAAGTATATTTAATATACAGGTATTTGGCGCTGACGGAAGAGAACGTGTGGCGAAAGTCCAATACAGAATTTTAAGCAAAGAATACAAATACCACTATTAAATATGAGGATGGTAATGTGACGGCGTGGGGTTTATGGCAGTTGGTAGAATTGGAACATTAAAATTCATTGATAGCACAATGAACAAATATAATTATTTAAGTATTTTAAAGGAAATTTAAAAAGAAGCGAACAGAAAATGGGATTAAAGAATAACTTCATATTTTAAGAGGACAATGATTCCAAGTATTCTTCACATATTGTGCAAGAATGGTTATTGTGTAATGCTCAAGGACAATTGCGTACACTTCCATAATCATCCGAGCTTAACCTCATAGATCATTTTCGGATTTATTAGGACGACTAATACGTAATCATAAATATTACATCTATAAATACATTAAATGCTGCCTTACAAGAAGAATGATATAAAGTAGAAGAAACTAGTTTAATCAGTGGAAAGCTATTAAATAAAAGGATTTACTACAAAATACTAGCATGAATTTGGTTACGTTTATATTTATAATTAAATTTTTGTATCTTGTTAAATTGTTTTTCATTATCTTACGTATAGCGTTGATTACTTTTTAATTTCTTATTACATACGTAGTGTATATATATAGACAATTAAATATACACAGTGTTTTGAAACATGAAGTTTTTACATTTTACAGGACTTTAATAACTGCCGTACGTAGTCTTTTTTGAGTCACTGAATAAAAGAAACTGTTACATCAAATTTCTACTTTGCACAAAATAAAATTTTGAAAAAACATATAAAAATATTTATTTTTAAATTTTCCTGAAGTTTCGCTTGAAAAAAAAACATCCGTTTTATCCATCCTAAAGATCTTCCACCTTTTATCTCCTTAAAAAAAAAGATGTCCGAAAAAACGGGGTAAGTTGGCAACGTACAGTACAGTACATGTGACCGAGTTAAAAAACAAAATTAGTTACAAATTGTAGTAAAATTATTTTATTTTTATAATCGAATAGATAAATGTTATTTTTATATTTTAATAAAAACACACGCAAATATTATATACTGTGTTTATATTTTATGAATAATTGGTAACAAATCAAAAATTTTAAGCCGTCAGAGGGAGCGGTATATTGTGAACCGGCAATAGACGATATTTCGTGGTAGAGTGTCGTAATATATATATTGTAGTGTTAATTTGTAATATTGTGCTGTGTTAATATAAATTAGAAATAACAATAATGATATTTGACGAAGCGGATGGCATATTTGAATTTTTGCGCGGGACATTGCCGTATTATACAATTGCAGTTGTCCCAATTATAATTATGGTGTCAGTAACTCCGGTATTAGGAGCACATGAATTCACTGTGTATCGAATGCAGCAGTTTGATCTGCAAGGAGCTCCTCATGGTGAGAATATTTGTTTATTAAATAAACTTAAAGGCTTATTGATAAAATTGAAATTATAAACTCAGCTGTGATATTTGTTTAAATGCCTTAAATTAATCTGATTCATTGTAGTAAATACATTGCCATTTTTTTGGTACTCTTATGAGATAATTGCAAAAAAATACAAAATATAAACTATTATACATTTATATATACAGTAGTGTTACCACTCGTCCAGTTTTCACCTGGAAGTCCGGGAATTGACTCACTGTCCAGGTGAATTATTAATTTTGTCTGGGAATTTCATAGAAATTGTCAAATTACAATGAAACCAAGTTTTTGCAAATATTTTTACAAATTTACATTATTTTAACAGTGAAAGAACTCGCACCCACTGAATCTCATCTGCAATTCTGCCATGTTCGTCTGTTTACGCCGTGTGGCGTGCAACCTGCCTTTTTTTTTTTTTTTTTGCAAGTACTATCTTATATGTCTATGGGCTAAGTTATCTAACACGTTATTATTTGCATTGTAAAATGACATTGTGCATGTGTCAGGAACTTCTGTTTGAACAAACCTGACCTCCATCCGGGTCAGCGATTTTGAAAAGGTGGCAACACTAATATACAGTCAAACATGTCTATAACAGAACCCTATGGACCAAACAAATGTAGTAGATAGGTTTCCTCTATATACGGGTTACCTACCATAGGCCACGTACCATCCCTTGATTAATGCGATTAATAAATTTCTCAATGTTATTGCATATATCAAATACAGTGGTATCTTGGTACTTGACTGAACAATTAGAACAAATTAGAACACCCGTTAGAACAAATTTTCAGTTAATAACAAATTTTTATTTTAACTTTAATTTTTTCATTCATCTGTAAAAAAGTTCTCTAAGATAAAAACAAGTAACCAATTTAAAAATAAAATAAAATCTTACAGCTGTTTACCTTTGTCTGACAAAATTATACTCAATTCAGTTTGTTTTTTTCATAAATGAAAAAAAACAAACTGCATGCAGAACACAATCATTGACATGTTTTACAACCGTTTCAAGTGGATGTAATGTTTCAACCAGGGCTGTGGAGTCACGTAAAAATCTACTGACTCTGACTCCAACACCAAAACTCCACGACTCCGGCTCCAACTCCGACTCAACAGCCCTGCCAGGGCTGTGGAAGTTGCATAAAAATCTACCGACTCTGACTCCGACTTTTCCTTACCATCCGACTCCGACTCCGGCTAAAACATCAAAACTCCACGACTCCGACTCCACAGCCCTGGTTTCAACAATACGTGTCTGTGACACACTAAGATTTATTGCAAATTTGTCGATCTTTAACAATTTCTTCCCACAATTTCTCTTCAACAGGTTTTGGGGCCCATACATTTTGTATCCTTTTACTTCAAATTTTGAACTAAAGGATACAAAATGAAACTTTCAAAACCACATTTGACACATTCGGAATTTAGAAGTATTTTCTCCATACACAGTATGAGTATTTTTTACTATTTGTATAACATGATATCCTTTACAAAATTCAAAAAACATGCATAATGTGCCCTATGTGCATTTTATCTGCAGACATTTCGACTTGATTTTATTCAAATGAAATGTGATGTAAAAATGTTTAAAATAAGGTTTAAAACAAAGAATACAATCTCACATCAGGAATAATGTGTTAAATTTCACAGCTTATAATTTCATTACATATTTATGTTAAGTAAAAACAGCTGTTAATAAAAATACACAAAAACATTGTTCAAATCCCAATAAAATTACTGTAATACAGTAGTCATATTTTGCTATTCTGTATTGCGTATGTGTATTTTTGACTATTTTTAATGATTTATACATGCTAGGCTTGTTAAATTTGCGTTAAATTGGATAAAGATACCGATTTTTCCATTATGTGGCCCAATTTTTTTTTCATTTGAAACTTTATGACATTTCATTTTTTAGAAGTTATAGATATAGAAAACATACAAACAAAAAAGCAAATGTCAAATACATAAAATATGTTAACAAAATACTCTTATGCAAAGTCAAAATGTAAATCACTCCATCATCTATACATAACATTGTGCAACAGCAAAAAGATTTATTAAACTAATAAAACTAACATTTTCAGTTGTATTTAATGACCATCTTCAGGTTGATATTCCAACAATTGAACATTTTTGGATACTAACAGAAATAGAACAAAAATATGCATACACCAAACAGTTTAAATATTAAAAAAATATTTTGAGTATGTGGAAATCCTAAAAAATTTACACACCTGAACCATTTACAGTGTGATCACGCAAAAAATCGGTAAACGAATGTTTTCGAACCCCTTCTGGGCTCTGCTTCAGGTGATCACACCGTAAATGGTTCAGGTGTGTAAATTTTTTAGTATTTCCGGTGTGATAAATAGTGAGTTTATTTGTGGAAATCCTAGTTTGAGGTCTACACAACATAATGCAACATGTAGTTTGGTTACTATTTTTTAGTGTTGTTATTATTTTTTTTTTATTGCATATCACAGCAATATAGCAGACTGTAGAATTTTTTATATTTAAACTGTGTTTGGAATTTGCATATTTTTGTTCTATTTCCATTAGTATTTGAAAATGTTCAGTTTTTGGAACGTCAAACAGGTTTACATTTGAGTGTAGTGTTGTGTTTCTCTTACTGTTATTTTGTTCCACCTGTGAAGTTCTGGGCGTCCTTCAACATCTCGAAACAATGAAAACGTTGAAAAAAACTGCCAAAAAAGTGTTAAGACGTCTGCAAGAGGATGTGTGAAGGAAACGTCCGGAACTTTGGCAAGCAGATGACTGGTTCCTTCATCACAACAATGCCCCTGCACACATGGCCTTACGAGTGACCCACTATTTGGCCTCTCAAGGATGGCCTGTCATTCTCCGTATTCACCAGACCTAGCCCCGTGCGACTTTTTTCTGTATCCGAGAATGAAGAAAAATCTAAAAGGGAAGTGTTTTGATGATGTTGGAGGCGGTAAAAACAGCTTTGCTAAGAGCACTGGACAATATCAAGGTTGAAGAGNCTTACCGGCTGACTCTGACTCCGACTTTTCCTTACCATCCGACTCCGACTCCGGCTAAAACATCAAAACTCCACGACTCCGACTCCACAGCCCTGGTTTCAACAATACGTGTCTGTGACACACTAAGATTTATTGCAAATTTGTCGATCTTTAACAATTTCTTCCCACAATTTCTCTTCAACAGGTTTTGGGGCCCATACATTTTGTATCCTTTTACTTCAAATTTTGAACTAAAGGATACAAAATGAAACTTTCAAAACCACATTTGACACATTCGGAATTTAGAAGTATTTTCTCCATACACAGTATGAGTATTTTTTACTATTTGTATAACATGATATCCTTTACAAAATTCAAAAAACATGCATAATGTGCCCTATGTGCATTTTATCTGCAGACATTTCGACTTGATTTTATTCAAATGAAATGTGATGTAAAAATGTTTAAAATAAGGTTTAAAACAAAGAATACAATCTCACATCAGGAATAATGTGTTAAATTTCACAGCTTATAATTTCATTACATATTTATGTTAAGTAAAAACAGCTGTTAATAAAAATACACAAAAACATTGTTCAAATCCCAATAAAATTACTGTAATACAGTAGTCATATTTTGCTATTCTGTATTGCGTATGTGTATTTTTGACTATTTTTAATGATTTATACATGCTAGGCTTGTTAAATTTGCGTTAAATTGGATAAAGATACCGATTTTTCCATTATGTGGCCCAATTTTTTTTTCATTTGAAACTTTATGACATTTCATTTTTTAGAAGTTATAGATATAGAAAACATACAAACAAAAAAGCAAATGTCAAATACATAAAATATGTTAACAAAATACTCTTATGCAAAGTCAAAATGTAAATCACTCCATCATCTATACATAACATTGTGCAACAGCAAAAAGATTTATTAAACTAATAAAACTAACATTTTCAGTTGTATTTAATGACCATCTTCAGGTTGATATTCCAACAATTGAACATTTTTGGATACTAACAGAAATAGAACAAAAATATGCATACACCAAACAGTTTAAATATTAAAAAAATATTTTGAGTATGTGGAAATCCTAAAAAATTTACACACCTGAACCATTTACAGTGTGATCACGCAAAAAATCGGTAAACGAATGTTTTCGAACCCCTTCTGGGCTCTGCTTCAGGTGATCACACCGTAAATGGTTCAGGTGTGTAAATTTTTTAGTATTTCCGGTGTGATAAATAGTGAGTTTATTTGTGGAAATCCTAGTTTGAGGTCTACACAACATAATGCAACATGTAGTTTGGTTACTATTTTTTAGTGTTGTTATTATTTTTTTTTTATTGCATATCACAGCAATATAGCAGACTGTAGAATTTTTTATATTTAAACTGTGTTTGGAATTTGCATATTTTTGTTCTATTTCCATTAGTATTTGAAAATGTTCAGTTTTTGGAATGTCAAACAGGTTTACATTTGAGTGTAGTGTTGTGTTTCTCTTACTGTTATTTTGTTCCACCTGTGAAGTTCTGGGCGTCCTTCAACATCTCGAAACAATGAAAACGTTGAAAAAATCTGCCAAAAAAGTGTTAAGACGTCTGCAAGAGGATGTGCGAAGGAAACGTCCGGAACTTTGGCAAGCAGATGACTGGTTCCTTCATCACAACAATGCCCCTGCACACATGGCCTTACGAGTGACCCACTATTTGGCCTCTCAGGGATGGCCTGTCATTCTCCATCCTCCGTATTCACCAGACCTAGCCCCGTGCGACTTTTTTCTGTATCCGAGAATGAAGAAAAATCTAAAAGGGAAGTGTTTTGATGATGTTGGAGGCGGTAAAAACAGCTTTGCTAAGAGCACTGGACAATATCAAGGTTGAAGAGTTCCAGAGATGCTTCAAACAGTGGGGAAAAAGACTTCCCAATTGCATTGCATCTAATGGAGAGTACTTTGAAGGTAACTGAAGAAATT